TTATTAAACTTTTAATATAGTCAAAAAAGAAAGTTGACTTGGGCTAAAATAAAATCCTTAGAGTTTATGTGAATATGAAATTTAAAAAAAGGTGCCTCAGTTGAATATAGATGCATGATGGATTTTTGTAGTTGAATCATCAATATAACATGAGTAATCATTAATATGATTTTGGTTGAGTCTAATGGACATAGAATAGTCTATTATTGACTCATTTGATGATATGTAAAAGAGATATAAACATGATATTTCCCGTTGGTTGGTGTATGTCTTGCCAGTTTGAAATTTTCGTAAACATGATTCATACATTTATCCTATAAAACACATACATTAAATATTCCAAACCTAATTATATTTATTATCAACAAAATATTGAGTAGTGTAAATTATCATAATACGTATAATCTAATTATCTAACTTAAAAAAAATATATATATATATATATATATATATATATTATTTTTTTTATACAAAGCTAATTGTTAAGTGGGATCAAAGCTGAATTTAGGTAGTACAACTTTTAAGTATCTCTAGATTTTCAAAACTCAATATTTATTATTGAGATGTGACCACACTAACTCTATTAAAGAAAAAAAAATCCTGGATAAGTTTTCTATTACCTGAAATATCTGAATTGCTTTTAACTAAATCCTTCACTAAAATTATTCTTGCACAAATATTGGTTGCTAACAATTTTCTTTTAGATTAAAGTCCAACTTCAATTAAATAAGATAGTAAATTATAGTGAGACAAAACTATTATCAAGTGAAAATAATTTATTTTTCTGTGGTTGACTATAGAATCATTTAGTCACATGTAATGAAAAAAAAAATTATGTAGAGATATTGAGTCAAATTCAAGAGACACTCAAATCTTTAAGCACCACAGAAGATAGGACAGTACGTTCACCTTCCAATTTATATTAATTTGATTATAAATTTTAAAAATAAACATTATTTATTGAAAAGATATAATTATTTATATTTTAAGACAGGCAAATTATAATTTAATTTTATGTCAAACTTTATTATAAATTCATAAAATTTATTATTATCACATGAAACTGATAATTAATATTATATTTTTTAAGAGAAATATTTAAATATAATTTTTTTCTTTACATTTTTTACTTATGATTTAATACGTTACTACTAATGTAATTAAAATTGTAAAATACATAATACAAATTTGTGTATAATTTTTTTATGCATGCATAGTTATTACCATTTTATAATTACAATTTAAAAAATTTCATACAAACTAACTAACAACAATATATATTTATTAAAATATCTTTAATTTTTTTCTCTTAGTGAAAATGTTAACAATATATATTACAATAAAAGTGATATATATTTTTATTATTTTCTTTATGATTAAAAAATACTTTATATTTATTAAAAAAATACTTTATATCTACTCATTTTATTATGTAGTTTGACACTAGTACTTTCTTTAACGAATGAAATCTTAATTTTTTTTTATCCTACCAATACTCTTAATAAGAGTAAAAAAATAAAATTATAAGTGTAATAGATATTTGATGTAACATAAAATAGAAAAAGTATTTAAGTGGATTTGATGTAACATACAAGAAGAAAAAGTACTAAGTTTGGTTTGGGATACACTTATCTTTGTTCCAAGCTATTTTTCAGTCAAAGGAGATTTGAAATTAAGAAAGTCCAACACAAGTAATTAATTGATTAAACAAAAGAGACCAGTTTCACACAAAAAGATCAATATTATTCGGTGCATCGGATTCTTTATAAACAACTATCTTTATTTTCATCAAGTTCTTCGTATGAATTCTAGGTTTCAAAACTTCATCAATTTTTGTTGTTTATAATAATCAAAAAGTTTGTACATTAGTTTAAAGAATGTTTTTTCACCTGAGTATCTGTCATAAAATATGTTTTGAAAAGTAAAATAAATGTGACACACAGTCCCAAAATTAGTAGACAACAAGACTGCAATTGGGTGTTTTGAGACATTCAATAAATATAATATGGAACCCATTTTAGTGTTTCAACGAAGTTAAAAGGAATAGCAATTGTTAACATGGTGAAAACATTTGATGTTTGTACGGGTGTTTATGTAAAATAATTTGGTTTTTAGAAAAAGAAATGGAACATATATTATCACCATTATTATAGATACATGCGATCGTGGGAAGTTTGGGTGGTGTAAGGAATCTAGAAACTGTTTTTTTTTTTTTTAATTATTATTTTACTAATTTTATATTATTATATTAATATATAACATATTTATCAATGAATTAATTTTTTAATTGATTATCAATGTATTATTATTTATTAAAAATATATATTAAGTATGAGAAAATCATATGAAATTTTCTACAAAATTATTAAATAATAATTTATATATTTACTGTGGGACATGAAAATGTGGTTTGTGTGGTTCTAGTAAGATTTGATTTTTATATCTAAAGTTAAACATTTTTTTCTGTGTTCTCATAAAAACAATAATTCATTTGATTATGAGATTTTAATTTAGTTTTGTTCTTATAGTTATATGTAACATGATGTGTCTTTTAAAAAAAACATAATTATTATTTTATTAAAAACTTGAAAATAAGATAAGCCTCTATTTAAAAATCAAAGGAATGCAAATATCTTTTGGTATAATTTTAGAGAAGACAAAAATATATATAAAATAATAAAATGAAATAGAAAAAAAGTTTAATAAGCCAGTCTCTATTATTTTGAATAATAGACTGCAAAGTAATGTAGAATGAAACGTCCTATACATCAATAATGTGAAGTTCTGACGCATTGAAGAAAACAACATGTATAATTTGACCACCATGATTGATTCATGGTACATATTATTTTTCCTGCGGATACCATTCGTACTCACCTTGAAAATCAACTTTAGTTAAAAAAAAAAAATCTTAAATAAGTTTTTTTTTTAAAAGAAATTTAATCCTCCATCATAAATAGTTTGCTATAGTAAAATATTTATGAATAAGAAGTATTGAAATGAAACGTAGAGAACAAATAAAAAGTAAAAAAAAAAATGTAAAATAGATTATTGAAAAAGAAATAAGAAAAATAAAAGTAAGCGATAAAGCTCTTAAATAAAATATTGAACTAAATAAATTGCAAAAATAAAAATAAAATAAAAACAGATATAAATTATCTAAAATTATTAAAATGAAATGGTTGATAACAAGTTACTCATCCATCGTAAGCATATGTCATGTGAGTATTTACAAGTTTTACTACAAATATGATATTTATAGAATATAAATCTTAATTATTTTTATAATTTTCTAATATTTAAAAAAAAATTATAATAGATAATTTTGATTAATTGACATTCTGAACATAATTTTTCAAATATTCTCTGTCCAATTTTACATTTTATAAGGAAAGTTTTTAAAATAGAAATGAAGAGAGAATTTTTATAAGAGAAAAATTTTATTCATATAAAGAATTATTTATGTTGGAAAAGAAAAGTCACATTTTTATATCAATGTATGAAAAACTTAATATAATAATTAATAATATTTAAAATTAAAACAAATTACTAAACACAAATATTTATTATATAAAAATTTATATTTTATCTAATATTAGTTAATTACAACAAAGTGAAGTTTATGTAACTCATTTTGCCTTACAATATATACCTCGGTTGAGTCTTGAAAGAACAAAGTAAACAATATGTATTCTATTGTTGGTAAAAATGATAACATATGTATTATTGTTTGTAAAATATTATATATGATAGTGTTATATTTACCATAATTGTGTTAAAATTATTCATTTTAACTGAATGATTGAAACAATATATTTGGTTTTATGTTTATTTTATATTCCTTTAAGTTACTAGGATATTTAAGTATTTTACATATTTATCTTTATATATTGGTTATAATGATGGTAGAAATTGTTATTATCATAATACATGTTGAGAACTAACTCATATCTACAGTATATAAGGAGAGTATATTTAACAAATATTTAATACAAAAATATATTTCCTAGTATGGGATTATATTACAGAACACTAATAAATATTTGTACATTCTTGCTGTTATAACTATATCCTAGATTAAATTTGATGGACCCATAACTGCAATAGCATCTACTCCCATGTAATTAATAATATGATTATAACACTCAAGTTATACATGTAAAAAAAATAAGGATAAATTAATTATTCAAATAACAATTATTCATTAAAACTAATATATATATATATATATATATATATATATATATATATATTATACAATTATATCTCATTACATTATACAAATTCATATTATATAAGATATACAAACATCATTTAAAAAATATTGACACTATGCTTCAAATTCAGAAACTAATATTTATAGGTCATATTGAAACGAATACTATATAGATATTTTCTAACTATTAGTATTATTTTGGCTTCCCTGTTCATAGAGTAGAATTATTGACAATAATACTCGTCTTGATATATTTTCATTGTAATCTTAGATCAAGTTATTAATAATCCTCTAATCGGCTTTTTATTTACGGGTAGCTTAGTCCATTTGATTGTGATTATTAATAGAATATATAATTTTATTGAATTTACGTCTTAGTCGATTATAGATCACATTTCGATCTTAACTTAGCGTCACTTGCTCATATATATCTCAATTAATTATAAATCATTATTCTTATTCGATTAAGCTTCAACAAATATATGTTATTATAAAGAACACATAACACCAATACTTATATAAAACATTATACTTAAATAACAATGTCTCCTTAATTTCATCTTATACCAATTTTTTCCACACTAATATATATATATATCATCGTGAAGGGATTATATAATGGTGAGAAATATGTACATGGGTTGGAGTCAAAAAGAGACTGACAATAATATAAAATTAATATCCATGAGTGAAACTAGATGTATATAGAGGATTGGTAATTCAATAGTGGCGTTAAGAGGAGCAGAACAGAGAGAGAAAGAGGGTGGGTGTGGATCAAAGATCAATGAAGGGCAGTGGCTGCAGTCAAGCATCATCAAGAGGAGACATGAATGTGAAACCTGCATGGCTAGAGAGGCTTATGGCTGAGACATTCTTTGGTGGTTGTGGGGTCCACCAGAATCACAAGAAGAACGAGAAGAACGTCTTTTGCTTGCACTGTTGCCTTAGCATCTGCCCCCACTGTCTCCCTTCTCACCCTTCCCATTCTCTTCTCCAGGTATCAATCTAACTATCATTATCATTATCATGCACAATTTCACTTTCATGATGCATATCCCACATCAATCCTTAATGTTTCTACCTTTTCTTCAATCTTTTCATATGTCTACCTTTAATCAGCTTCTCCCACAATTTTTCTGGGTTTTCTTTTCATGTATATATATACTCACATCACTTCTCACCATGTCACTGGGTGTTTGCTGATTCATCTTGGACTAATTTCATTTTGTGGGACACTCTCATCCTAGTCTTCCCTCAAGTTGATTTGCATGTGCTGTTTTTCTTCTTCTGACATGCTATTCACCTTTCTGGACTTGGATCTTGGTTTGCATGTGCTGTTTTCTTTGATTATGATTAGGTTTTTGCTGACATTCAACTTTGGAGGTTTTCTGATAGTGTTTCTTGAGTTTTTTTTGTTTTTTTTTTTTCTAAGTCTTCCTTTTATCCTTTGAACAATCAAGGTGGCTGCCAGTCATTGAACTTTTCATTTCTAATCAATTTCAAAATATTTTGAACCAAATGGTTATAGGATGATTTCCACCAGTGTTTTGATAAACTCTTACAGTTAAATTTGACATGAATCTTGTGGGATGTTTGAGAATCCATTTGCATCAATATAAACAAGAGTTTAACACTTTTTAAACATAAAATTAGAGACTAAGATTTTGTACCACACTTTGTTTTCTCTATTCTAACTGTTAATCAACCCACAGTTTTCTTCTTAAGAAGCGGAAGTGTGAGAACAAGATAATTTGAATTTTTTTCTTTTTCAAAACGAGTTTACCAAATTAAACTTATGGTTTCAACTTCTGTCATTACTTATCTCTGCTATATTTGTTATAGGATTTTATCAAATTCTATTTTCTACTTATATTATTTGAAGTTTTGTTTCTTAAGATTGAATGTTTGTCTGTTTTGTTGATTAATTGAACTAACTAACAGTGTTGTCTCCTTGTATTTGTTGTTTCCCCATATATAAATGTTTATGCATATATATTTATTCATGGTTTCCCATAAGGGTTTACATTGTCTTGTTTGATTTTCACTTTTTGGTTTTGGTTTGTTTCCTATAAACGAAAGATCTCTTTTTTATCCATCTTTTTCTCAGCTGTTACTTTCATTGAAAGCGAAAGGTTTGACCAAATTGTTCCCATTCACATTATTTCTCAACAGTTTATTATTATTTCTACAAGAAACCCAAAACTTCTTCTAAATTACCACTATTCTCCACACGCTCCTTCGATTCGAATGTTCACACGTATTTAGGAATTCGCTAGAAATAATTATTTGGAGTCTGAATTTTATTTTCAAAACTTATTTTAAACACAAATTTTTCATTTTGATAATTTTTTTAACACACTACATGTTTGATTTAATGTTTTGGGTTGTTATCACCTGATAATTACTGTTGTATTTTTTTAAAACTTTAATATAGTTTTACTTTTTTAAATATGTGTGAGTGATCGGATTCAGATATAAGGTAGAGATAAAATAATTAAAAAAAATAATATTGTATATGCAATATAAAGATGATAGAAGGAATGGATGAGAGGTTATTAATTTTAATTGTAATAGAGAGCTAAATATATATTTAAACATGAATTAATTTTAAAAGAAATAAAATTTTTGAATTAGTTAATGAATTTTGCTTATCCAAATAAACCTACTAAATGCCATTAAAAATTTAGTTTACGAATTAAACTTTAGAAATATTTTTTCATTAAGCATAATTTACAAGGAATTCTCACACGAAATGCATTAAATAGAAAACAATTTACATTATTATTTAAGTAAGTATGTACATGCATGTTCGAGTCTGTGCGTGTGAGATAGAAAGATTAATGGAGGTTTTGGATGTCATTGTACAGGTGAGAAGGTATGTGTATCATGACGTGGTTCGATTGGGTGATCTAGAAAAGCTCGTCGATTGCTCCAATATTCAGGTCGGACAAATATAACTCTTTCCAAGAAATTCAAAACCTTTCATTTATCTCCCCGATGAAACTGCATGACTAAAGGTTGAATAATTAACCACTGATTAGTAAAAATAAGACAATGTTTTATGGTAAAAGTGTGCAATAATCACAGTAATCACAGTGAGTTTAACGTAATTGCTGGTTTGGATTGGATGGCAGCCATATACCATTAACGGTGCCAAAGTGATATTCTTAAATCAGAGGCCACAGTCAAGGTCATTTAAAGGCACTGTCAATGCTTGCTGCACTTGTGACAGGATTCTTCAGGAGCCCTTTCACTTCTGTTCTCTGTCATGCAAGGTTTTGTCTCATGTCACTGTTTATCTCTCTCTCACAACTCTTTATTTTGTTCTTTGGCTATCAACTCTTACAAACAAATTACTGGTCAAGATCCACGTCTCAACCTTGTCAACACTTGAATTTTTTTTGAAGTAAATGCAATGCATGTTGTAACATGAGCTAGGGTTCTAATATATTATCAAGTACACACCTTATGATAAATAATGGTGTAAAGGCAACTTTCTTCTTTTAGAAAAACTAATTACTTGTGTCCATTGCGAAAACGAGAAAGTTTTCTTTACAAACACTGATTTCATTATGACATTTTTTGGTTCTGACTACGTATATTTCTCAGAAACAAAGACAGAAAAAAAAAAAATCTTTTTCCCACTTTTCTTCTTTCAATCAATCAAAATTCTTGATCATTTAAAGCATCTCTGTATACAAACACTAAAAATGATCCTAACAAGAAAAAAACAATTATATTTTATACTGTCACTTAATAATTTTGTTTTTATGATAATAAAATTGATTAATAGTACATACAATAAAGAATCTAAAGCATGTTTGGATTGTATGATTAGGAAGTAACTATATTATATTATGTATTCTTGAAAACTTAAAATGTGACTGCAAGGGAATGGATAAAAAATTGTAGAAGTTGCAGGAGGTTTAATTTTCTGTTTCTGGTGATGGGTTTAAAAGCATAACACAAGATTACATTTGGGAAGATGAAAAACAAGGATGTAGCCGGCCCACAAAAAATAATTGTATGTAATTGCAGCAGGTTGATCACATGGTATGTGATGTGAGGGTTTGGGTTGTCAAGCATTATTGAATCTGATTTTACATATTTTTGCAGTTTGAGGGTCTAAGAGTTGATTGCTATGCCCAATTTGTCCCCACTTCCTCCTGCTCAAATGGTGGTGAGGCTACCACTAGCATTGCCACCACCAACAACAAGAACTCCAATGGCTTCTTCATCTCTCTAGGAAGCAGAAGAAAGGGGGCTCCCCATAGAGCTCCTCTCTCTTAGCCCAAAAGATGGCTACATTAATTGACATTCAATTCTGAACAAATAAATGAGAGTCTTAGTTTTCCACTCTGTAACCTTTCTATTGTGTGTTTATGTGCTTGACTTATGTTCTGTACCTGCATTGATTTGTAGATTTTTTTCATGGCCATCTGAGGTGGTTATAGAAGCTGCCAATTTTGTGCTTGAGATGGAATCAAATGAAGTGATTTTTAATGGGTCAGTGTCTATGAAATACACTGTTTTGAGTAGTTAATAGGATGTGATTGCTCATGGTTAGATTTGATTTTATTTTTTTTTATATTAAAAATATGATTTGAGACAAATTAAATTAATGTTTTGTTATTCAGTTTGAATTCACTTTTGTGATTTTTCTTACTATATATATATATATATATATATATATATATTAATTTGTAAAATTATTTAAATATTTTATAATGAAAAATTATTCAAAATAGAAAAGTATCTTATAATTTTGTTACAATTATTATTATAACTATAATTTTAAATTTTTTCTTATTCATGAATAATTTTCATAATTATATAATTAAAATAATTTTTTTATAAATATAAATGTATATTTTTTTTATATTTATATTTATATATAGCTTAACCTACCTAGTAACTTGTCTCTCCTATGATGATAATCCTTTTCTTTATCTCAATCAAAATTATTTTAGACACGAAAAAAATAATTTTAATTAAATTATCAATAAATTTTATTTTTTATATATATGATGTTAATTTGTGTTTCAAAAATAATGTTTAAGAAAAATCTTAAAAATAGTGTAATGACATATTAAAAAATTATAAACAAAATATTTTTCATGATAAAAAAATAAATTCACTTACTTATATATTTCTGTTAACATTACCATATTACTACTAATCAATTAGAAGTTTTATTAATATATTTTTTAGGATAATTATCATGAAATTAATAATTTTTGTTATATATTTTTTTATTAAATAATATTAAAATTATTAATATATTCATCATTTCCTTATCTTTAGTGAACCTCTTCGAGTTTGTCAGTACAAACATAGACTTGCACTAGTATTTTAGTATTTTTAAAAGGACTGACAAATTGTTCAGGCATTATATAGCCACCGTATTTAACCGGTTCAATGTATGCACTGTATACTTGTTTTTACACGATTCCTTTATAATAATAAAATAAATAAATAGATGATTTATATAAAATACAAGACACAGTTTTAGATGTCAATATTTTCACACGAAAGAATTATATTTTTCATATAATTCAAGAATTTCATGTAATTTAGATGTTATATTTTAAGTATTATAATACTTTAATAAATATAATGATAAGAATATGCATGATTATGATTAAGCAACAACCAACCTGATTTAACCAACCTGATTTTAGTACATGAATTTCGCATTATACAGTGTATTTTTATGTATACAAAAGTGGGTTAGACATAATTTAAGTAACTTAATTACAAAAAAATAGAAAAGTATAGGAATCAAGTATTGAGTGTTGCTACTAAGATAATATAGATGAGTTGCATTCTATGGTTGTACCTATTACACAATTTACTACTTCTACCAATTTTACACGGTATGATCTTTGACACAAATTTTTACTTTCCCCTGTGCCTTCTTGCAATAAGAATATTTCTAGTAATCAATATTTAATATAAATTTTCTTTAGGGAACTTGCTTAATAAACATATATTTTGTACAAATCAATTGATATATAATATCAATATGTTTGATCCTCTCATAATGTACATAATATTTTATCAAATAGATTATACTCAAACTATTATATGAGAAAATAACCTTTTTTGTAGAAACCTAAGATCATTCATTGTACCCTTCAATAGATATCTTCTATCGTTGCTTCAAGCAAAGTCATTTAGTTTGCTTCAGTTAGTGGCAAGACCATTGTAGGTTGAAGAGTAGCTTTCTAGCTTATTAATGAATTTCTAAAAGAATAACCAATAGCTAACTATCTTGCATCCAAATTAGGAGTATAATTGAAATATGATAATAATTTTAAAGCACACTATGAATCAACCTTGAAATTGTCAATGTATCCAGTTCCTTTCATGTATACGAGGATACATTGCACTATTTGTCAATGTTCCTTCCTTAATCTACTCATGTGCTTACTCACTAGAACAACATGTGTCAAATCAAATTTTGTGTACACCATAACATACGTCAAACTTCCTATTGCACTTACATAATGAATATATATCATGTATTCCTTCCCTACTTCTAATTGAGTAGTAATAAGCCCAAATATATGGATAAACATTGTCAAAGGTGTGCTAATCGACTTAGTAGACTCCATTCAGAAACAACCCTAAGACCTTTTGGATGTTCTCCCTTTGATATAGAAAGAGCTTATTTTGGGCACAATCACACCTAACCTCCATGCCTTAAATCTTCAAAGCAACTCACAAGTCTTTCTTCTCAAACTCCTTAAGAATTACCTTCAATCTTCTAATGTCAAGCATGTTTTTGGATATTATTAACATCACCTACATACAACAATAGGTAGACAATATATACCATCCTCCACCTTTTAATGATAGACACGTGATTATAAGAATTTTAGACAACTCCACATTCGCCACACCTTCACATTGGTCGAACACCCGCAAACTAATGAACAGGTCGAGGTTGATAATAAAGTCATTTTAAGGGGGTTAAAACAAAGATTAGGGGAGAAAAAAATGTTGTGGGCAGTAGAGCCACCCCACGTGTTGTGGTTGTATCACATCATAACCCAATCAATAAACCATGAAACATCATTCACTCTGGTATATGACATGGACGTAATGCTCCCTAACAAAATGTAGAGCCCATAGACCGAGTAGTCGAGTTATTGTTAGACAACTTCGCACAAGCAACCAAAATGGATCTTGATTGTATTTAAGAAACACAAGAACAAGCTCACATCTGCATGGAAGCTTCAAAACGTCGTACAACACTGCATACTCTACAAGGGTTCATCCTAGAGCGTTCAAAATATCAAATCTAGTCTTATGATGGGCCCAACTACCCCAAATCCACAATAAGCTCATTGCTCAATGGGTCGGTCCTTACTGAATCATGGAGGTTGTCAGTAACGAAGCATACAAGCTTGACACACTTAGCAATGGACAAATCCTTAGAACGTGGAACATAACCAACTTGTGATTCTATTATAATTAGTATATTCATTTTATTTTTTTAGGAATAAACTTATATATTAATCTTCTTAGAGGGTTTTTCTTCCCTTCTCAAGGTGAAATAAAAAAAATTGCAAACACTCAGAGTATGCTACACGACGACCCAATAAGGTCAAAATTTTCTACACAATGACTCAAAATGGTTGAAATATTCTAAACAATGACCCAAAAGCAGTCGAGGTAAACTACACAACAACCCAAAAGTGGTTAGGATAATTTACACAATGACCCAAAAAAGGTTGAGATAATTTACATGATAACCGAAAAGAGATTGGGATAATCTATACAATGACCTAAAAGAGGTCGGGATAATTTACACGATGACCCAAAAGAAGTTGGAATAATTTACACGACAAACCAAAGGAAGTCAAGATAATCTACACGATGACCCAAAAGAGGTTGGGATAATCTACACGACAATCCAAAATAGGTCGTCGACGAATCGAGATAATCTACACGATGACCCAAAAAGAGGTCAAGATAATTTACATGGCGAGTTTGACTTTTATACTTAGCGTATACTTAACACGTTCTACCCTTATATAATCGGATGTTGATGAATAATCTACACGATGAGTTTGGCTTTTATACTGTTGAAATTATTAATTGGTTATTAGAATCATTAATTAGTTGTACCTATCTCTGTACCTATATCTTTTAGCTCATAATTATGCCCCTTGACCTTTCATCTACTTAGTGTATTTGTTCTTATCATTATAAACAAGATATCATGTTAAAGGTGTGATTAAGCCCTCTAAAACTATTTTCTCTCTTTTATGTTATCTTAAGTTGGTATCAGAGTGAGTTAATCCCGCTTTGTTGGTCTATTGTCTGCCACCGACCGCCGTCCTCGGACCACTGTTGAATGTAAAGTTAGTCATTTTATGACATTCTTTAAGTGTCAAAAGGAAGGATGAGCTTGTTGTTAGAGTTCTAAGGTGGCTCATCTTTGTTGACCTTATTGTTTAAGGGCACTTGAGAGCATCTATTGTATAAGATGATTTTAGTAGAAGCAGTGTTGATGACGATCATAGTAGAACTTGATCCATTATAATGACAAAGTCGTGAAGAGCTTGTCATATAGAGAACAAGCCCAGTGTTCTTAACAACTACAATAGTAGTTTTGAAGCTTAACATGAGCATCGATATTTTCCTTACCTGCAATTTTTGTTTACGTTTGATTTTTGAGGATGATTGTTGTTATTGCACTAATAAGGTGTTGCATCTAATAAAATCATTGATACCCTGTCAAAACTTGCTATGGATGTGAACAATTGAACGTAATGGAAATCTTAGTAGGATCATCTTGACCATTTTAATCGTTTGGTACAAAAACTACAATAGAATCACTAAAGTTAGGAATATGCACTAGCTACACAAAGTATGATGGAGACAATCGTAGAGCTTCTAAGGACCCAAAGGGGGCTTGACACCTTTTTTTTCTTTAATATAAATATATACATACATACAATTTTATATAAAAATTGACCTTTTAATTTGATTATATTTTACATGTTTACCACCCTAAATAACTATTTGAAGATTCTTCACTGGATGAACAATATGTAAGAGCCTAATTTATATCAAGCTTCCATTGCAAGATGAGACTTCACCCATTTTCAAGGAAGTTACTAGCTAAATGAATTCGCACATTCGTAAGTTCGACTAGTACAAACTGCTTCATCTATGGAAAAAGATGAACTATGATCCTCTCTTAGTGTTTGATTAAGAAGTTTACACTTGATTCAAGCATGTTGGGTTCCATTTCCTGCTACAACTAGGCTTCTTCT